TTGCTGTTAGGATTCGCTGAGCCAGATCGCCTTTCGCTGAACGCGTGAGCGCTGCGAGAATCTTCGTGTCTAGGGTCACGAATTTTCCCGGTTCGCCGAGCTCCTCCAACAGCTTCTTCTTGTCCTCGCGATCAGACCAGACTTCCATGATCCAAGGCCAAGCCTCGTCTGGACGGTCAGATGCGGCGCGGACATCCTCACGAACCGATGTTTTCCATTCACGGTACGTTTCAGGAGTTGGCATCTCCTTGAATCGCAACGTCTCGCTTTCGCGGGTTCTGGGCTTTTCATCGTTCGTGTGGCCTTTTACTAACTTCATCAACATTTTGGCGAATGCTTCTTGGCCGAGGTTAGGCCCAAGGCCATCACCTTCGTCTTCATCACCATCGCCATCGCCATCATCATCAGGTGGCGGACCGCCGGGAGGCTTACCACCCTGCTTGCGGTCAGTTGACATTGGCCCCTGAGAGAATTGCAGGGGTGGGACCGGTGCACTTGTTTTCACCGGGGATCGGCTGCTACCTGATGGCTTTTCAGCTGGTCCTTGCGGATCGCGAGCATCTGCGGGCAGTGCTTCGCATTCGGCAGTTGGAATCACGCTAGGGGTATATTCATCCCCGTAACCGTCATAGGTAACAAGCGACCTCAACTTTTCCTTTGCATATTGAAACGGATGGGTCAACGGGTCCAACATTGACCTTTGGGACCGAGCTGACTTCATGTCGTCGGTCATCAACTCTGGTGAATCCTCTCGGGTATCACCTACCCCTTTGGGCTTCGATCCATCCTCGCGGAGGTCGTGTTGCTTCTGATACTTCTTCAGCTCATCAAGCTCGTCCTGCAGAAGCCCGTTTTGGTGTGCCATCATGTCAACCGTTCTGGCGTGTGTAGCCTCGACACGGGCTGTGTCATCGGCATGCTTGGCAGCTTGCTCATGGAGGAGCTGCTGGGCTTCAGCCAGGGTGGATTCGATGGCTTGCCTAAACTCAGTTGTTTTGCGTCCCATTTCCGCTTCATGCAATGCTTGGGCATTTTCCTCACACACTTGGCTTATCCTAGCTTCAGCGAAGTTCACTTCTTGCATGAACTCATCGCTCACTCGCTGTTCGTATTCACGAATCCTATGCGACTGGGCTTGCACACATTCAGCGTAGTGTGCATGCAGCTGATTCTGTGCGGCACGGAGCTCCTCACGGTTTTCCGCTTGCAAATGCGTTACAGCTGCTTGATGCAGGGCTTCGGCTTCAGACCTAATGGCTGCATCATTCCCAAAAGCAAAGATTGCGGTATTGTACAGTTGAAGGGAATTCATCAGGGTGCGGTTGTATTGCGCATTAGCGCTTGATGCGAACATTCGCACACCGCCGCCGGTGGCGTTGCCGGAGCTAGCTCCGGCAGCATCCACAGGCATGCTGGATCCATCAACTGGCACAAGGGAACCGTCCATTGCTTAGAGCTAGGGGCCTACGGCTGATAACCTATAGATTCAAGGGTTACCGGTTTGGGGCCCAAAAGGAAACAACAAACCGTCCAAGTGCGCTGCTCGCACATTTTCACGCTTGAACAGCCACACTGCGGATGCAACGGATGTAAAACCCCAAACTGACCGATCAAATTCTTCAGTAAAGGAGCCGCAGCATCCTCGCTGTTGCTCGCCCAATTCTCACTTCATGAATCGTTGCTCTGAGGCCAGCTGCTTCCTGGACATGATCTCCACCTCTATTTCTTCGCACGACAGCTGCCACGAACATAGGTGTCCTTTTGGGGCAAATAGATGGCCCTGGTAGATGATTAAACCACCAGGTAAACCAGGGCCATCTATTTTTCGACCAAAACAACCAAAAAGCACACCTATGGCCACGAATTTCCGCCAAGCCCACCCTGAGCCGACTGACTGGGCCCCTCTCGGCTGCCGGGCCCAGCTGCGGGAAGTCTCGCACGGCCTGGCGCCGCCTTGGGCTTCTCTTGGAGCATCGGGCAGAAGGAAACCGACTCCGGACATCCCGCCACCCCTCCCAAAAGATCCGCCCCGTGATTTTTTCGGGATCCTTACTTTTGGAGGCGCCCAGTTGCGGGCAGAGGTGTCCTTGGGGAAATAGATTCGGGTTCCGGTGCCATCGATTTTTCGACCGTTAAAGAACCAAAGAGACAGGTGGAGCTTCTTCAGCTGCTCCGGGCCGCCGGCACGAAGCCCCTCTGCAGGAAGCGCGCGACCTGGCGGATCGCCAGCAACGGACGATGCGTGTTTCTCGTTTGAGGGAAAAACCCGTTTTTTGGATTGAGGTATAAAGGAAAACCAAAGAACACAGACCACTTTGGGCATTCCAGCTGAGACATTTTGAGACAAACCCACTCGAGAATTGGCAGCAGCCTGCGGTTTGGCGCTCTTCTCGATTTGGCACTTGGATCCGTTTGGAGGTGTGTATATGAACCTTTGATGAATCCAGGCATTTCTGACCCAATCAAAGGTGATGTCAACCATCAAAGGATGCCTGGAAGACAGGCATATGGGATAAGGACTATCCTGCCATGTGTCAAGAAAACACAAACACACACACACACACAAGCCATGTCGAGACGTTTCCTTCACAAACCTGCAGAATCTATATGTTAGCCAGCATCTCAAAGCGAGTGCGACCAAACCCGTAACTGCTGGCTTCAGAAACGACAAGATCCGTGGGATCACAGGCACTATGAGTTACCAACTCTTCGCCTTCACTATATACTAATTAATAATGCATCTGATATGCAAACTTGAATGAAGGTTGTGTGTTGCCACTTCTATCGCTCATGTGCTCCGGCCACATAGAGAAGTGGTTTGTGTTCGGTGTCGGCCCCTATTTTCGTGCGCAGCATTGTGAGGTCCTACAAGAGCAACCGTTTGACGCACTTTTAAAAAATGGAGTCTGCCAGGAGAACCTAAAGGCAACAACTCAAATGCCTACCCTGTGGTCACGGTGCACATTTACCGGAGCAGCTCTGCTTAAACGCTGCTGTCTGACTGACATCCCTCTGCACTTCCGTTCGCATATTCCGTAGTTGTTCGGTCCAGCCACACTTCACTTGGCCAAAATTGCAGTGTATAATCATGAACAAAGCAGAGTCATTTACTCGCAGACTTTTGCATGCACATGCCGTGTTTGTCATAGACTCAGTGTCTGGGGGTGCAAGTGTTTGCGATAGATGCAGATAACGTGGAAAGTGTTGATCGCAGACCATGGTTCCAAGAAACTGTCTTTGCAAGCACACTCGCCGCATCCGCATGAACAGCGAACAATCTCGACAAAATGCCGGGGTGACCCTACGCTGGTTCCAACATAAATGGGTTCCAGGATGCTACCCATGATTGTCCCTGGGTGCAAGCTGAAACCCATTAGAACCTGTTCCCCGGATCCAAGCCACTCGCCATCTTCTTCCAGTCCCTGCGCGGCTGGCCTCAGAGCCGTCAGCCCGGGCGCCCAGCTGCCTAGCCATGTGCTCGCTCGAGACCCGCCCGAAGCGAGTGATCAAGCACCAAATGGCCACATCCTTTCTCTCATCCAAAGTGTGGTCATTGCTTCTACCGGAAGGGTTGCGAGGCCTCAAAACCCTATCAGTCCCTATTTCATCAAGGAGAACTCTTTGCCAGTGGCCGCGCCCTGCCCCTCGCCCCGCGCGCCTCAAGCACGCGCGGGCGGTTTCGATTTGTGCCTCGCCGATGGCGCGGACCGTGTCTTGTTGCTCCTCCGGCAGCGCGGTGCGCGAAGCTTCGCATCGACACATGGCTGGTGCGCTGTGACCCAATGATCAAAATTGAAGCAGGACAGTTGTAAAGGAAGGCAAAGGTGGGGAACTCTCAGAAGGGAAGCTTCATGTCTCGTGAGTCGGAATGGTTAACTCTCAGAGAGGGACCTGAGACGGGTTGCTGCTTTAGGTCCCGCATGGCTCATGTGCCTACCAATCCCATGCTTGGGCAGGCGTGCACTGCCTCACACAGCACACAGCACCAAAAAATTGTTGCGCCCGTCAATTTGGCCGGAGGAGTTGTTGACTTCCTTGAAAGCGTGCGCACTACAGCCTGCCAGGAGCAGCACGCTTCAACACTGAGCCAGTACAATCGGAGCATAACCTCCTGAAGTAGGATGGGCCTGCCCGACCTACATGGGCCTGTGGCCCATATCTGTCATGGATCATAGTGACGAGTCATTTTGGTGAGGGCCATTGCCATGAGACTTTCACAAAGGCCGTTCGGTTGAATTCGCAAGGGGAGGGACACGAAACTGGGGCTGTCCCAAAGTTGCTCCACCCTTCTGTTTCACCCAGCAAGGCCAGCTTCACCCAGTGCTCCTCCCCCTTTCTTGTTGGTTCAAGAAAAACTCTCCTGCGAGAGGCTGGAGGGCTCCGGAGGGTGAGGCGCCACTGCCTCAATTTGGCATAAGCCGCTCATCCAATGGGTGGGGTGTCAATTTGGTAGGAACCAGCAATTCCAACGTCGGCCCACTGAAACATCCGTCCTTCTTAAGTTCGCAATAGTGGCCCCGAAAATCTGCGCTGGACACGCTTTTGAGTTAAGCTCAAACTAGTAGTTTGCTTCCCCCCCCCGGGCAAACCTGGGGGCCCCCAAACACCAAGCAGCTACAATGCCCAATCATCCCAGCGTGCCCCTCTTAAGCTTGGTCTCGATTTCAGGCATGCGGCCACGCATGTTACTAAATTTACAGATTGGTTTGGGCAAGGCCGACGGGCCGACGGGCCGACGGGCGCTTGTTTGGCAGACCCCGTCGGATTCAGGCAGGCTCGGGGTTGGCTCAGGCACTCAGGACAAACTGGAGGCTGCCTTGTGGCTTTCAAAAGGATCCACTTGAGGGATGAGAAAGGCCAACTGCTTAAGGGGCTTAAAATTCATCGGGCTTCCATTGATCCCGCACTATGCCACACACGGGCCTGCGCGCCTGCGCCCACAACTGACATCTGGCCCCGCGCAATGCTGGCAAAAATTGAACAGCTCCCGCCTTCCCCTTTCAGGGAAGGCGTCGCCTTCCAAGCGGAGCGCGCTCCGATGCTCCGCGACCCACCCAAAGCCGCGCCCTCCAAAGATTTCGCCCAGTGGCTGCCAGGGCTGGCCGCAACACATCGAAGAAGTACTCCGGGTGAACCTGCAAGCTGAGGTACCGGTGCATGCGGTTGCCGAACTTCAGTCACAGCCAAATTCCGGTAGGCGAAGGCACCCAAACCAGGGAATGAGTATACTAATTGCTCCCCTTGGCATAAAGGAGCCCCGGGCTCCCTATATTCCCCGCCGAAATCACACTAGGAAACTCAGTATCAATTTGCCCAAGTGGGTGTGGCTCAAACTTTAAGAGCTAGGGTTACGCAAGTTTTAGTCTTTGGTTTTATTTACCAGGCGCCATGATGGTACATGTTTTTGAGCCACAGCTAAGTGATGCTTCAAACCAAACGTGTAGGGTTGCTGCCAGCGCCGCTTTTGCCCTCCGTCCAAAGCTGCCACAGCAGGTGCAGCTGGGCTCCAAGAAAGCTACAGCTGGCCAGCCACACGCCCGGCCGCACCGGCAGCTGCCGGAACTCCAGGAGATAGGCCCAGAGCAGCCAGTGGATCTCCGCAGCCATCCAAAGCGCCAAGCCACGCAGGAGGCGCTTTCCGGGCGACATGGCGGGCAGCAGGCAGAGCCACCACACAAAGTATTGCGCCGTCACCACTTTGTTGGTGGCCACAAACGCCAGGGTTTGCAGGAGAAACGTTTGCGGCAGGTCGACCGCGGAGCATGTGCCCAGCAAGGTGCACAACAGCAGTTGTGGAAGAGCCGCAAAGCGTGCCACATCAAATCCGATGCCTGCCTCCAAGTACAGAGCTGTGGGATAGAAATAGACCGAGAAATTGTGCTGTGGGTCCCTCCTTTTGCTGTGGTGAAGGTAGGCGCACTCAATAAATTCCATGCCATAGAGAAGATAGAAGACCAGCGCAAGCGAAGCAAAGGTCATGAAGGATACGAGACAAAATCCTAGCAGCTTGCGAAAGGGAAGGTGCATCGCCAGAGCGGGCAGATATATCACCGGATACATTCGCCAGTGCACGGCCAAACCGAAGATCACAGCACTCAGCTGCCAATTCGACTCCAGGAAGTACAGCAAAGCATACACCAGAAACACAACCACGGACTCTCCACTTCCGCGTGTGGAGATTGTGAAGCAGAAGGGGTTGAAGAGCCAGAGAGCCAGCCTAAATCGAATGTCTCCACTTTGGCCAAGACATCCCCGAATCAGCAAAACTCCAGCGACCACATCGAGAGACGAGAACAAGACTTTGCCCCACGCTTTGACCCAGAGATTCGGCAGAAGCATGTAGGCTAGGAGTGGCGTGTATCTGTAGCGCGTGGCTTCGTTGGCAAGTAAGGCTGTTCGGCCATTGTATGGGCTCAGCCCCAAGGAAACAGACTCAGCCGCATCGGAAAAGACCTGGTAATCCACGTCCGTATAAGGCACCTCAGCCAACACGTCCTGCACCTCAGCCACGACAATCAAAATGATTCGGAGTGCTGCTGCAGCAAACAGCAGCTGGCTGGGCGTCAGATTCTGCAAAAACGTCATGGCCAACGTGCCTGGGCGCGCAGACGATGGCCCTTGTTGGGCAGCAAGCTTGAGAAAATTCGGCAAACAACGGTTTGACTCGCGCCCCCCAATGCACATCAATTTGCTGTTCCCCTGCAAGGAGTGGGTTCGCTTGTGGTCTCAAATTACACTATCCGCCGTGAGGTTGATTCAGTCCACAAGTTTCCAATGGCCTGGCCCCAAGGCCCGACTTTGCCCTGCCTGGCCCTTGAGCTTCGGAGGTTCACCTGCCACCTCAGAGCCCGCAACAACAAAACAACTGAGAGAGAGAGAGAGTGAGAGCCAGCGCCATGCAACACAACTCAGTAGAGCACAACGCAACGCAGACGCACACGCACAAGCACAGGCACACGCACACGCACGCGCACACGCACACGCACACGTACACGTGCACGCACAGGAACACGCACACGCACACGCACACGCACACACGCACGCGCACGCGCACACGCACGCGCACGCGCACGCGCACGTGCACGCACACGCACACGTGCACACGCACACGCACACGCACACAGACACATACATGCACCAGCAAAAACTAAATCATGAACAAAATAATGCAAAACAAACAAACACGAAACGCCCCCTCGGCTTGTAAACGCGCGATAACAAATAACAATGTTCCTTGTTTCTAGGGGGGTCTGAGCGGACCTGCAATCGCACGGGTATCTGGGATGCGGAAGCGCAATGATCTTGGGAACAGTCCGATGCTCCCTGAGTCACTGTCCGACATCCTCAGCATCTTCTTTGCTGCATCCCCAGCATCACCAGAATGACCTTCCTGGAAAACAGGAGCAAGCAAACACAAACTAAAGGCTACCCGTCTCTTGCAGAACCCTTTCCCAAATTGACGCGGAAACTGCAAACAAACAAACTAGGCATCCGATCTTTCTCACATGACCGAGGTAACTGCAAACAAAAACCAACAGGCATTTCAGGGAAAAGACCATGAACAAACAGAGGCAACCCAAAGGTCCCCACTCAAATTCTGCGGAACCTTTCTACGTTCCTGGAAACTGGGTCAAACGGAAGGCCCCCCTTTCCCAAATGACCGAGCAATTTGCAAGAGGCGCGCAGCTAGTGAAAAGATCGTGGACAAACAAAGGCGAACCAAAGGCATACTCAAGTCCTGCAGGCGCCCTTCTACATTCCTAGGTCCCTACACGTGCCTTGTGCCAGTAGAACAGAGACCAAATGCACTGGACATGGGTACTGAGCGGGCGCGTTGGATACAGTGCTGAGCGGGTGCGCGTGAGCGGGTGCGCTAACCATCTGGCATACCATCTGGCAGGTGTGGATACAGTGCTGAACGTCTGAGCGGGTGTGCTTACCAGCTGGCATAGATACAGTGCCGACACACGGACGTCGTCGGCGCACGGATGTTGACTGTGAGTTTACACAGATGTGGCCGTGCCATGGGGAAAGCGCTGTGAGAGACGCCACGTGCTGGAACACTGTAGAAAATTCCACACCAATGGGAATGCGCGCTGCAAAATGCGCCTTTGCAAATAAATGGAGCCTCAAACGAACAAATAAATCACAAACAAAACAAACGAACGATCGAATGAACAAACCAAGCAGGCAAAAAAAGAAAATAAACAAGCAAGCAAGCAAACAAGCAACCAACCAACCAAACAAACAACTCACTTCCCGGGTGGATTGGCCAACAAGAGCTTAGTTAAGCTCTTTTCTGCCACTAAAATGATCTTCCCAACAAGTAGAAAGTCCAGGAACTCAGGGAGTGAGACAAATAAACAAGCAAACAGGCAGACATACAAAATTACAAGGCCACCAGGCCATGCTTGGAACCCGCGCAGGCTGGAAAATGGCAGCCACCAGGATGTTCCAAGCGTAACCTGACGACAAGGTGGTCAGGTTCAGGGTCGCGGAGGCGTCCAAATCGAGAAGAAAAAAAACTGGCCTTGGTAAATCAGCGACTCTAGCCGATTCATTTGTAAACAACACCTTTGGCATCGTTTTTGCAAGTATATGCTGGGTCTTTTACTGAGTCACGCCCTGGGAATTTAGGATGAGTTGATTCAGTTTCAGCCATGGATGTTGGTAGCAAGCCATGAGTGCTTGTTCTTATCGCAGAAAGCTCATTTGTTGAAGTTTTGAAGCGCTTGTTCCAGCTTAGCTCTGGTAATTCCTAGCCTTGAGGTGCAAACAAAGCAGCGGTTTCTGCGGATTTAGCAATCGGCGCTTTCAAAACCACAATGGTGGGTTTCCTCACACGGTGGCACATTGGCTGCCTGCTCGTCTGGCTGGCACGCGTGCCAGCCGATTCACATCAGCTTCAAGCTGTCGGGGAATGGTCGAAATCATGCAAAGATGGGGAAGGGTGCACATCAACTCAAACCGACTGAAATCCGTGGTACTTTGTGCCTGAGCCGGCCCCGTGCCCCGTGCCCCGTGCCCCTCGCCTTCTCCTGGTGTCAGCTTGGGTCCTTGCCTCGGATGGAACGGGGTCTCGTTCCGCTCGACACAGGCAACGGATCTGTTGAGCATACCTCAACTATCCCGTGTTTCAGGGTCACTGGATCTCCTCTTCAAAAGCTGCTTACTTTCCCTCGAAACTGCCACCTTTAGAGGCTAAGCCAACTACGGCTTCAAACCCCGCCTCGGTTCGTTGGTTCAAAAGGGCCACCACTCTATCCGGCAAGCACCAGTAACTGAACATGAACAAATTTGGCATCGCACAAGCAACTGCGCTGGAACCGGCTTCTCTCCGGCTCAAACACGACCCCTGGAAAGGACGCCAACACGCCTGACGTTCCATAGTCACCTCAGTAAAGAATGTCGCCTTGACAAGAGTTTCCAGGCTCCAGTCGCAAAACAGGGCAGGTCCAAGTGCCTCGTGGAGTTTCTGATTCGGCTGCAGGGATGTGTGTTTTTAGGGGAACCCGATCCAAAAACCTGCCACTCAGGTGCCCCTGCGGCCGCTGAGGCGAGTCTGACTCATCGCTGTCGCCTCAACATCCAGGTCTGGGGCCGGTTGCCCTTGGTCATCCCAGAGTTTGCTGATTGAAACTTGAAACTTTTCAGGATTTCTGATTTCGTGGCAGGCGCAGAAAGTGATTGAGCTTGGGAATTCAGCCGCAGGATTGTATGCACCTGACAATGTTGTTCAACACATCAAGAGCCCAGAAAGTAGAAAAAATGCTCGTGCTACCAGCTGTCTGTGCAAAGCAGATGCCCAAGAACTGCAAATGGTGGTTCTTAATATATGGTCACAATGTGGAGCCTCAGCTATATATCTAAGATACACTACACTTATCGACTCAGCAAGGCATGATTCGGTTCGGACAAGCTGAAGAAAGCCCTGCAATGTTCGGGAGGAAAACAAAGAGGCGAAAGACTTCGCTGCTGGAATAGGACAACCGATTGTAGAGATACTGGAATGTAGCAAATCGCATATGCCCTGGGAGCATGCAACTCTGAACTAGCTAAACTGACCTTGTTCAGAAAGAACAATGCTGGGGCAAATGAAGCTCCGGGTTCTATCATACATGTTTATTTATGTTTTCTTTGTTCTTTCTCTTGCTCCAAGCTGCTGTTTTCTTTGTGTAACAGCCTCTGGCTCACGCACTACCATCCATAGTTCAGAAAGTGACAGGCATCAACCTCAGCCTTTGCGTCACCCCCAACAAGGGAGTTCTTAGGTTTGGGGGGGGGCCTCCCTCTATAGACTTGGCAACTCGGTGGGTTCATCCAACGGCCCCTCGGTTCTTCGGGTGGATGAAAGTTCATCCAACGGCCCGGGGCCCGTGCTCTCACCCTCCACAGTCGGTTGTGACAAGAAGGCTCCCATCACCTGGGCGAATTTGCGCCTAGCGATTCGATGGCGGGGAGAGGGGGGGGTTGGCAGTGGACGGCTTCTGCAGTTGATAGAAACCATCTTTGATTGGCCAAATCTGGTCTGCAAAAACAGGGAGGCAGTGCACGCTCGGGGAATGAGGGAATGAACCTGGGGGTCTTAAAGGAAACTACCAGTATGAACCTTGCTGCTCAGGGAATGAGGGAATGAGCCTGGGGCTCGTTTATAGGGGGAATGGAGCACCAATGAACCGAATGATCTTGATTGGCTGAGCCCTTGCCATGGCCTGCAGCACCACAGCGCCGCCGCCCACCGCCATGGAACGGAGATCCTCTGCCTGTCCGACGGCCGAAAACCGAAAACCCGGCGTCGGGTGGTGCCAGGCCAGGAAATCCCTGTGCTGGTGGGGGTGTGGCTGGTTTCTATGAGGATCTACTTTCACATGGCTTTCGGAAGGCCTCAATTGGGGGCTTGGGAAGAGTGAGGGAGGGTATTGGAGGGTGGATACCAGGCAGTACCGGGGTCTTCCTATCTCAGGTATATGGCCCGTTTCTTCTGCAGGTTTCTGAGAGGATGGGGAGTCAAAGCCCAAGTCAAGAGCCCAGATGCTCATGTGGCTTTGTGTGGTCAGGTACCCTTCCCCCCCGCCCACCCCGCCCTTTGACATGGCTCCCGCATAAGAGGCTTGGGGTTCTGAGTTGGAGGGGCATCTGCAAATTCCCACGTGGCGACAGGTTAAAAAACGGAGGCGAAGACCACACCGGCCAAAGGCTTCCCTCGCGCCCGAAATTCCCTCGCCCGGAACATCCGTGCCTTTCTAAGGTTGTGTTGGTTTAAAGGGAAATTAAAGAGAGACCAGTCTGGGGTCTCAAATCCCCATTTTGAGCCACCAGTTGGTGCGAAAACGCCACAGGTCTGAGAAAAACCCGCACAAATGGTCTTTGTAAAAGGGCATGGTGAAATTGGGCGGGCCGGAGCGGGCCCCCCTATGTCTTCCCCAAACCAAGTAGCGGCCAATGACAATATTGCTTCCAGTTTTCTTGGACGCGATTGCCAGATTGATGCATAGGACAAAAGGGCCCATCAAAGTACACTCTCACAACTACCCGTAGGGACATCTATGCCCAAACACAATCTAACAAACACCCCAAATGTTCACTGCATTGGACCCGAAACAAGGGCAGCCGATCAAAGCAAAGGTTCGAGCGGGCATCATCAAAAATCATGTGACTCAAATATGTCACTTCTGCGGGCTCAATTTCTTTCCCAAGGGTAGCCATATTCGCCAAGCGGAGGAAACCAAACCCAACCACCAGGCTCCAAAGGAACCGGAGAGCTCGTTGGCCCCACCTGCAGGCTGTTCATCATGCCTTTCACCATCTCCTGCGAAGACCGCCGATGAAAATGAGCGGAAGCTTCGGCCAAGACGCTGCAAAGACGAGTCTAACGTTCGTTGGAAGAGCCTCTGTAGCAGGGAGTACAGTAGAACACACGCCTATGAATATGGGTGCGGCCTTACGACAATCCGCCGATTCATGCTGGAACCACAAGCCACAGGGCCCTGAGTTGTACCACAGTGCCTCGTGATTCACTCTTGGTCCACGCCTGTTGGCAAACATGGGTGAGAAGCCTGGTGATTCACGTGATTGACTTCCGTTTCTTCAATTCCACGAGTCTACAAACCATCCGCACCGCCTGCACAGCACCAGCGACGGTATCAACTAAAATCAGTCATGGGCCCCACGCGCAGGTAACTGCAGAAATGGACCGGGCCTAGTCTTGTGTTGCTGCTTGCACGAGTCCAAAGCAGCGATTTGTCCAAAGGTTGGTGTCATATTGGCAGCGGCTCGACAGTATCCCGAGAAGGGCCCCAAGTATTGAGACGCTACTAGCTGGGGTCGTGACACATCTGCCAGGGGGCTAAAGAAGCAAACACCCCATCAAATGGGTTCAACAAAACCCGCAGTCTCACTTGTGAGCTGGAGGAAACGCATTTCGATCCACTCGACCGGCGCTTCGGACCTCGGCGACGCTGCGGAGCATGCCCGGCGGCAGCTTGGAGGGAGGCCCCCGGCCCAGCTTGCCAAGGCCTCGGCTTGAGGCAAGCCGTCCTTGTCTTGAACCGAACTGCCTACCCACTCACAGCTCACAAAGGGGGTCCCCCCCGGCAAAAAAAGACATAGTTTCCTTCTACCTGCAAGGGGGAGTGTGTTGGCAAGCTCATCAACAACACTCAGATTGATTGTGGGGATATCACACTCAATGTCCATGTGAAGCAAACAAACCGCCTGAGTGCAGCACGGATGGAGGCTTCTGCTACTGCTAGCATTGCTGCCTGCAGCGAAGAGAGATACGGTCCAAAATGCCGATTCATCTGAGGCGACAGCCAAAACAAAAGCAGCATTGCCCAGACATCCACCAGAAATCATTAAACAAACAACTACAACCAACCATGTTGAATGTGTGCTTACTTAGGACACCATTTGGAAACTGAGTTGTTCGGAAAAAGAATGGTTTTAGCTAAGTGTGCGTTAACAATCATATACGCTTGGAACACACCACACCCCTTCACACTTAGAACGCCCCCCAGATCCCAAACAGAGAACCGATTTTGCACTTCGAACACCCTCAGTTTCCAAACGTGAACAAATGTGCGGCGGGGAGCCTGCTATGCATTTGTGAAGGACTGCAAATGTTGGACACGCAGAAGGCACCTCGCCTGACTGAGCTTGGCATAGCCCACGCCGAAGGTGTCCAGGAGCACGTAGATCAGCTCCTGAGCCGATCACGTCTCGGTCACGTCCAATTGGCTCATCTGCTTTCTATCATCTTGACAAACTTGGTCCTTGGCCGTTGCCTCCTCAGGGATCTTGCAAAGCCCAACTCTCCAGAAATCTCCTGCGATTTTGGAAGCTGACCGGTGAAGAAAATATCTTAAAACAGAAAAAAGTGTCCCTGTCATTCGGGCACAAATCCATAGCGTTTGAGAATATACGAGCGCTCGCAAAAACAGTGGAAAAACATATTGTGACAAATGAAACGGTTGGATCGTACTCACTTAAAAGTCTGAAACAAAAGAACATTGAGAAATCAGAACTAAAAACAAAAACTGACAAAGGAACTGTTTGGATCTTACTCACTTGCAAGTCTGAAACCGAAGCAGATCTTGAGGAATCGCAAAACATATGACAAAGGAAATGTTTGGATCTTCCTCACTAACAAACCTGAAACCAGAAGAATGAAACAACTCGAACAG